GTTAGGGTCTTGCGAAAGCCATTGCCCGGTTTTGGACGCTCAGGGCTTTTAGATGCTGTAGATTTAACCCTCTGTCTGTCCTTTTGATGGCGAGCTTCCCAAATGCCTAGGGAAGACAATATCCTGCCTCGTCCAGCTGAACTGATGCCTTCAGACTTCCTGAGGAAAAAGCCTCTTGAGAGCTGCTAAAATATTTATTTATCCAGGATTCATCTTACTGAATTTACTGTTTGCTAAAGCAGGCAGTGCTGTGCTGGCCTGGCATGAGATAATGCGTCTGAGTTTACTCTTTCATTCCTGTGGAATGAAATTTGAGCTTCGCATTTTTTTCATTTTTTTCATTTTTCAGGGGAAAATAATTTCAAGTGGGGAGAGAAATTTGCTGAACATCTGGGAACAAAATGTGAAAAGTTTGATAAATGGCATCTTGCTGACATGTAATTGCGACTAGCTCAGTGAAGGAATCTGGGGCATTGCAAATAAAAGGATTTTTCTCAACTGTAGTTCAATCAGATATGTAATTTAGTTGCATACAATTGACAGTAATAGGTTATTCAGGTTGTCATATGGATTAAAAAAAAAGCAAAGAAGTTCAGATTTCAGTCATACAGTAATCTTAATGTCGTTCGCGGCCACGTCTGTATAACACCGGGACTGACATTGTTTGACCGCTTAACTCAATGGAGAAGTTTGCTGTTCAAAATACATATTGTATTCAAGGGTTAACAATGGTATAGTAAATACGTGCCCATATTTCATACACTGATTATAGCATTGCCCGATTATACCGATAACTCAATTGCATAAGTTTTAAATCTTTCAGAAATGTTGTGTGCAACTGTTTCTTCACGTCAGTCATTTTATATCTGAGATGCATTAAATTTAAAACCTGAGCATTATTTTGATGATTACCAGTGCACACCGACTACCTTTAGCGTGAGAATCTCCTCGTATGCACAAATTAGAGTGACAAATCTGAGCTCATAGCAGTCAGATTTTTACAGACATAAACGGAGGCAAAATTAGGTCTTAAAAAAAGAGAGAGAGAGAGAGAGAGAGAGAGAACATGGCCAAAATATTTTCAGGAGAAGAAAAAGACTTTAGCTCTATAGAATTTTCCCGAGTGCTCTACCACTCGGATGTCAAATGACATTTTTTCTTCATTTAACATAATTGTCTCTGAAACGTAACAGTGAAACAAACCATTAGCAAAATGCTGAGCTGTCAGAAGCAATCACCGGCTTCAGACCCAAATGCAGCGCGCGCTCTTTTCCGAGTGTGCGTCCTTGCTGCGGTGTCGCGTAGAGGCTCTTTGTGAAACACCCGACGCTTCAATGACAACGTAGTAACAAGACACAACCCAACTAGCGCTTCGAGGGAAGCTCCCAGTGCCCGACTGGCATCCGCCTGTGCAGTTCCTACCCCACGGATGGATCTGTGCTTTGCTCCCCTGTCCCAAAGCCGGTCTCCGCTGGCGTGGGATGGGGCTGTGAGTGACCGGTGCTTCTGCAGGTGGCCCTTGGGGTCGCAGCTCGTAACAAGCAGAGCATGAGAGATGAGCCATTAGCTCCCTATCTAAAAATAAATAATTCAAATGACTTGCACTGTATAAGCATGCTATCACAAAGACCAAACCCAGCCCTTTCTCTCCCTGAAGTCCTTTCCTTGTTCACGTGCGGTATCCCGAGGCATTGGCTAAGCAGCCTGAAGACTTTTGAAAGCTGGAAGGCTTTCAAAGCGAGTAGGAGTTGGAAATAGGTAGAAAATTTTTGCAGCTCCGAATGCAGGTTTACCAAGAGCAAAACCTCTAATCGCTGCATAGCCCCCCATCAGGTGCACAGATGGAGGCAAGAAATCGTAGCAAATTGTATGTGAACTGGTAATTAGAAACTGCATTGATAATTTTCATTGCCACGCTTCTATGTTTCTTAACTTTTGAGTGTTCAGCTTTGCAGCCTGTAAAGCAACCCGGCAAAGGCCAGAAATCCCTGCGGGCTGAACCGTGTTAGCCTGCAGACTTCCATATTCAGCTGCGTGAAAAGAAAACCAGGAATTGCCTGCTAATTTGTGTTGGCCAGCCACCAGAGGGGGATGAGGCATCCACTTTCCCAGGGATGCCTGGGGTTTGGCGACTGCTGGCCCACCGCGAAGGAACGCAGGTTGGGGGGTCCTGGCTTCAGCAAGCGATGAGCGATGGTCAGCTCATCACAGGCTTCCTCCTGCAGCGCCACTGCTCCTGCTATCCTTTGTGTCTTGTCCTGTCTACTCTTTTCCCTGCGTAAGTCTTATTCTTTATTAGATTTGGACAGTTTCCCAAGCATGGCCAAACGTGAAGATGATTCCTGCTGCCAAATTTGTTGTCTTTAGAGTGTAGCGTTAGCAAGTTTTGTGTAAGCAGAGAAAATTTAGCGTGGATGCTTGAGCACCTGCGCTCCATCTCTCCAACGTGCAGGATTTTCTTACAACCCGATGCTTGGGAATGGATAAAACTGCCAGGAGGAAGTAATTCAAGGTAGACTTCTGTGATTAAAAACGTCACCACGAATGGAGAATGTTATGGGCTGTGGCAGGCAGGATGATCCATGGTGTCCCATCCATGCTGTGCCTGCAATACTTGGGAGCAACAGCAGAGGTTCCCAGATTGTTTTACACTAATTACTTCAAAGTAATAGGTAGCGGAGGTGGTTTCTGTGATCTCTGTGTGCCTATAAAAGAACCTCCTTTCCCCAGATCTGCAAGGTACAAACCTTTGTGTAGGCATTACTGGCAGTCAGCTGATTAGTTAAAGCTCATCAGCTTGTTAACATTAGTTTTCTGCCTTGCAGAGTGTCATCTCTGGGTTGTTCACCCTCTTCTGCTCACGGCATCTGCTGCAGGAAGTCAGCCAGTCCCCACTTGTGTCTTGGGATGTAGGAGCTAGGGCTACGGCTGGGTGAAGCAGAAGGTGGGTGGGTGCTGGAGTGGGATGTTAGTCTGTGGTAGACGTGGAGGAGTTGTGGTTGGGTTCTGGCTTGGGGGAGAAGGGAACAAGAGGAATATCTACGCTGTGGTTAAAGTTATTAAAGAAAAGTTATAAATGTTAGCATCAGGTGTATAAACAGAGGTGTTTAGCCACACCAGAGTTGGCTCTCAGTTATGTGGTGAGGGAGTCTGTCGTTAAACCAACACCAGCATGGACCTTGCCAGAAGGATGATACCCTCCTGACCTCCCCGCGTGCCCAGCCATGTGCAAAGGGGGTGGTTTGGAAAAAGCTCAGGTGTATTTATGTGGCCTCCAGCTGCCCCTTGGATGCGTTAATAGGATGTTCTACATCCTGTTTGGGCTTTTCTCTCTCTCTGCATCCAAACAGGTTATATGGGCAATGGCTATTTTGTCCCAACAATCTTTTCTGGTTCACCATATACTGTTTCTGCTCCTTGGTGTCCCTGTTTGCTCCCTTTTCAACTCTGTAGGTTCTGTGCTTGGAAAAGTCTGTCTCTGCTCGCCTCCTCAAAGAACTTTTTGGATCCTTTCTCCAAGTCTTTTTTCAAGCAGTTCCTCTTTTTCCCTCCTCTTCTTTGCTTGATCTGACTCACATCATTGTGACGGGCGGCTGCTTAGGAAGGCCATGTAGTCTATTACCAAACTATGTAGTTTGGTAGCTCCAAACTCGCCTGAATTTTATTCCTCCAGTGCTGCTTGTACAGAAATGCTTGTGTTTAGATTTACTACAGTCCCATTATTTATTCATGGAAACAATTTTTTGGGGATGAAAAGATAAAATGTACGAAATGCTTTGAATTTTGCAATGTTTAAATTAAAAACAAAATCCATGGGTATTTGGGTTTTGCACAGATTTCAGCAGTTGTTTTCACTATGCAATGGGCATGGCAGCCCCATTAAGTTGCAAGGCCAGTAATGTGGCACTGTCTAAATCAGGAAGCTTGTTAATTTATCTTCCATTGTGTAAAAGGATACATTAGTTTGCTGAAATGATATAGATTTTATCATATAGGCATCGTACAAAAAATCTCTCTGCCGTTCAGCAATACTCAAGATATTATCAGTCTAATCATTTGAAATTATGATTTGTTATGCTGCTTTTCTAACACATTGACCACAATTTGGATCCTACCCCAAAACCTCAGCCATAACTTCAATAGAAAACACTCTTACTCTTTCTGTAAATACATAATGCTCTTTCTGTATGCTTTTTATTATTTTTATTATTATTGTGCACATGTAAAGCTCAATGGTTTTACTGCTTTCTGTATGGGGGAACTGCATTCAGCTTTTCCGGGAACATTCTTCAAAAAAAAAAGAAAGATAATGCAAAAGCCTAAAGGAATTCATAGCATGATGATAATACTGCTTAAATTTTCCCATCGGCGATGTTTAAAGTCAAATTGGGTTGTGACATTAAATAACACCATATGGTGTGTTCATTCCCTGCTGTTAGTGCTAGATGCTCAGAGCAGTTTCAGTAGCGTTTTACAAGAGTTGATTGATTTTTTGGGGTGGGTTATGGGTTCTCAGAAGTTAGATGAACTTGAAAAAATTTATAGCATTCATCTTTTAAATAGCAGAAGTTTGCAAGGGCTATTTGTATTATTATAACACTGGGGGCAGACCTGTATGTGAATATGTATATATGTGTGTGTATATGTATATGTATGTATGTATATATGTGTGTGTGTGTATATATGTATAGTTGTGTGTGTATAAAAGCTGCATCAAACATGTCAGGCACAGAATATGGAATCGAGCTCTACTTCACACGCTTAACTTTCGGGGACTTGGACAAACTATTTTTGTCCTCCGGGTGATTTCCTTTCTCAGAGGATGCCAAAAGTATTAATTGAGACTGTCAAAGCTCAGTAAAAGGCATTTGCCATTTCAGTTGTATTTCTGAACCTTCAGAAACAGATGAGAAGCACCTGCAGATGCAGACGGTATGTTGCACGCATGGCACGGGTTCCAGCAGCCTTTCATTTCCATCCTCCCTTTTCTTTTCTTGCAGTTCTTTGAGGTTCCGTTTGACTCCAATATGAACAGGACAAAAAACAGACCGCTGGTGCGAGGACAGATCAGGTAAGGCTCTGCACGCCTGCTCCGGCTGATGAGAAATGAGTCTTAATGTTCCTTTTATACGTCTCCAGGCTTCTCTCTTTCTCCTTCAGATGAGGAAAAAGAGCAATTTATAGACGAAAGACTATGACAGAAATGCATCTCTCTGTGCTCGGATATGTCTTGATGCTTATGACCGTTATGTGAGAAGTTTGCGTTATCGGTTGTCTTCGAAAATACTGAATTCCTCGGGAAAGCACAAGTACCACTTAATGTCATGCATTTCTCCATGTGTAACAAAACCACACACACACACACACACAACGTCGTGGCAAGTAACTTTTGCATTAGTTTGTAACAGTAAAGCTTCAACATTTCACATCTTAGAACAAATTCAAGGTCATATATTAAATCTTTTCACTAGTCCCATTTATCTGTTAGAGCACATATATTCATTTTAATTTGCTGAGAAAAGTATTTGGAACTCATTTCCCTTACAGTTTTATAAATTGTCCTACAGAGGTCCTGTTAAACATCACCTCAACAGAAAATCATTCTTCTCTTTTGGCTGTTTTGTAAGGCCCCATGTTGTCTTTGCCTTTCCTACATGTTTATTATAAAGCTAGAATGAAAACCGAAAATGATGACATCTTAAGAACATAATTTTAAAATTTATCACCATTTAACTTCTCATCATCCCATATATAAATCCAAAAAAACTCCCAGTATTAACATAGGGTTTCCGTTTAAAAAAAAAAAAAAAATCTCTCAGTCACTCTGATTTCTGGATTATATAGCAGTTCAGTTTCTCAAAGGCTTGTTTCCAGCTAAAAAAACAAAATGTAAAAGAACATCAACAAAAACTATAACTTATTTGCAAACTAAAACTGAAGGCCCAATTCATAAATGATTCAACAAACAATTTTAGTATTGCGTTTCCATGATTTGTGCCAAGGATTATTTATAACAAAATTATGTTTTCCCTTAGGCTTCTGTGAACAGTTGGTCCCATTTATTTCTGTGTTTTATCCATCACCTTTGGAGGACTGTGAAAAAAATGTGATGGATAAAATTACAAGAAAATTGAGACAAAATAGTAAAGTGAACCCCGGGGGTAAATTCAGCCTCATTGTAAATAGAGAACTTCAATAAGCTTGTTCCGATTTGTTCTCTGAGATGGTGCTAATTACAGATTCCTGAGTTCAGTTAATTTTACCTAAAACTGAATTTGAGGGACCACTGTAGAGAGGACATCTGTTGTGCGTACAGTAAGTCTATTTTAATTGTGCAGTTCAGGGGGGCTGCCCTTCTGCTCTCCTGTATAGTCCTTTAGCACTGGAAGAAGGAACCCTGGTTTCCTCCTTTCCAGCTGTTTAGGAAGAAAGGTGTTGGGGAGGGCGGGCTTTTTTTTTCCTTCTTTTTTTTAAATCGTTGCCTAGTAGCGTTGCTTGCACTCTTTCTGGAGTCTAAAATATAGCTAGGAAACTCTTTGACAACTTTTGACTTAGAGAGAACAATTTTCTCTAATAAGTTTCCAGCGTCCTTAAATGAACTTCATGGTCACCTGAACGCATTGCAGATTGGCAAAACCGTATTTACCACATTTTCTTCCTTTTTCTTCCCCCTTTCATATTTGCTTTCACCACAAAACGGTAATATTGGGGACCTCGTGTAATCGCTCATCAATCTATCTGCCTGACTGTCAACAGCTAATTTAGAGTTCTTTAAAGTGTCACTTACCTTGAATAACGCTGGCCTAATTCCCTGTAGACTTTTGAACACGCAGACCTTGACTGGGGTTATTTCTTCTGCGGTGTGCCAGCGGAGAGTAATCCAGTGCAAGTGATCTAACCTTGTTTTATTTTGCCGCATATTCCCTGGTGCTTTTTGAACTCTTTCATTCCTTGCTGATTAAATAAAACCCTTAAATGGTTGTGCTAAAAACTAGTCAAAAACAGTCAGAGGCAGATAAACTGTATGTAAGAGGCTGGTAGCTTAGCTCAGGGAACGAATGCAGAAAATTTGGGATGTGTACAGAGTTCTTGCTCAAAATTTGTTTGACATTTTGAGTTTTGAAATGTTCCCCTCTCTAGCTGCTTCACAGAATGAAATTTTTGATGCCTTTTTAATTCTATGTATTGGAGCACCTGTAGTACGCAATGCGAAACGGGCATCATTTAAGATCCGCCTTCATTGACATTTTTTATAAATATATTGATATTGCCTTTATTTTTCCATTCCCCTCCCCCCCCCCT